CTGCTTGGTTGGGGGGGGGGCGGCCGCCCCGCCCGCGGGCTGCGTGTGGCCCGGCGAGCCGAGCTCGCTTGGGTCGTTGTCCCGCGTAGTAACGAAAGATAAAGGTAGTTTAACTGCTCGGTAGGTAGAGAGTTATTAATTTGCCAGCAGCAAGATAAGATTAAGGAGCACTTAAATAAGAAATATACTTGCTGCTGCAAGAAAATGCTTTAAAGTGATTTTGTTTTCTAAGCTGAGAAAGGACCGCTGCCAGGTATGCACAGATATGAGGGGGTAATCCTAATTTTAAATAATAATGATAAAAATACAAAATCTGCAGCTCGCAGGGGCAGGAACTGGTACCACAGAGCTGGCTGCATCACTTCTCTGCCCCCGCGACAAGCCCCGTCATGCGCCAGTTCTCAGCACCACGTTACCTCTCCTGGCTGCCTGCGACAAGCCCTGAGGCTGTTATTCGGGCCACATTTTAACACCCACCTCTAGAGCAGCAGAGCAGAACCAAGCAGAACCGAACGGGCCCATCAGGCAGTCAGTGCCATGGTTGCCCCATGCCTGGCACTTGATGCCCTGCCCCGGCCCAGTGGCTAAAACGCTGGGAACGAGGCGCTTCCCGGCTCCGTACGGACCCTCTCCCTGCCCCAGGCTGGTCCGGGCTCCCAGGGCCCGCACTGCCGCTCGCCTGTCTGTGCATTTCTCCTCCACAGCCCACAGAGAAGGGCAAGACTGAAGCGTGGGGGCCCTTTCCCCCCTCATAAAACTCTCACTGCTACCTGCGTCTCACCCAGCTCATTCCCGAGTGCCTTGTTTATCACCTCCTGCTTTCTCCAAAACATCCATACCATAATCTCCTTAAGCCAACAGCGCCTCTTGTTAGGTCGCTTCCTAGGTAGATGAGCTATCATCCACTTAACATCAGCTGCAATCTGCTGGTTGTTGATCTCCTTATCGCAGATTCAGCCTAAGGCCTTCATCAGTTTCAGGTTTATCCAAGTAGATCAGGAGGAAGCTGAGATATCCTGGTTCTCCCTGCTGGTTAGCTTCTTAAATTAGTCCAATAACATGCAGAGATGGTCAACCTTTTTTATGGGTGGTTTTGATATTTGAGGTTTGAATTATCTCCAACAGCATAAAAACTGAAAAAGAAAAAAAAAAAAAAGAAAAAAAAATGCAATTCTTTGCATTGATGCTCTTACTTGCTTCATGGTTTTGAGCCCCCTGTTCCTGCTTTTGTTTGGCATCTCCCAGAAACCCTGTAGATCCCCCTAGCCGTATGAATCTCAGTGATACCAGACTGTACCAGAAGTCTTAATTGGGACTACTGATAAGAGGAAAAATACTCTATTACAAAAGTGTTTCAGATCTGCACTTTAAGCTGATTTCTAATGCACAATATTGCTTCACGTTACTCAGTCACATGGCCAAGGTACAGAAGCAAATAAAAGCACCCACTTAAGTCAAAATTGACGCATGTACTTAAGAGCTTTGCATTATTGACCTTTGTCTGTAACTCTTCCTTTAGTAACAATACTAAAAAAAAAATGGCTCTTCAAGGCCTGACTGATTGCATTTCTTCAAAAGGATTTGTCTGTAAAATACCCTACTTACTTTGAACTTTGTCCTTGCTGAGGACTAGCGCCTTTTATCTATTTGAAGAGAGACACATCAGTAGAAGTTACAATCACTCAACAGCACTGTCACAGTGCTTCATTTTTATTACTGCTCACAGTTACCAGCAATTGTTATCTCCGAGTAGCAGCGGAAAATACCAGCGCATGGGGAATGCGACTAGAAGCCCAACAACGAGATCTTTTGTGTAAACCATAGCATTAGCTGGGGGAGGAAGTTGTTTTGTTACATTGTGGTGTTGAGAAAATGTATTTTCCAGATATCCTTGCCAAGAGATCCCCCTGCAATCACTCCAAGGAATTACTGCACCTTGGTGATAGCGCACAGCAAGCGAATGATTGGTTCAGCTCCTGCAGCTCTCCCATAGTATCCATGTAAAGACAGCAAGTGAAACATACAGCTAGCTTAACGAGTCGTGTGTGGATGGGAGACTCAATTAAAATTAAATTATACAACAAATTAGGTTTTAAATGCTGTGCTGCTTAGCCAGCCAGACAAATAATAATTAGAGATGTACTGATTTGGTGCTATGCACAGTTGAACAGCAGACTGCTATAACTGCTTTTAGTGTGTGTTGACTACGCTTCCCTCCCAGCTTACAGAAATTTTATACTATTTTCCAAATGACCTGTCCCTGAAAGGGCCGATCACTGATCTGAGTGAGGCAGAGTAGACAGGAGCTTTTTCCAGAGTTCCTCTTTCCCATCTGTTCCATCAGTTAATGTTTCGTTAGCAATATACATCTCTCTATTCTTTCTGTAAGCCAGGTCGTCGTTCTAAGAAGAACTCGTTTTCAGGCTCTGAATTATGTGGGCATCCATACATCAGAGTCAGGAGAAAAAGAAGCTACAAATACATACGTTTTCCCACACACATAGATAGCAGCAGGCATATAATCCATTTCAAAATACTCCATGGTGCATGGATAGATGCAAAGCCCAAAAGTGGCACCTCTGATAGTGGTTCCCAGCAAAAGAAATTGAGGACATTTAGTAGGACCTACTAAAGGACAATATAGAAATCAATCCAATTGAAAAGGACCTGAAGGCAGCTACTCATACTCCCCTGTAAAATTTCTAATGTGTTTGCATTGTGTTCATGTCTGCAGCTCTCAGTCCCGCTGTGACAGATACGTTCTGAAAGATTGATGCTGCTTGATTTTCTCCACAAATTTTTCATCTCTAGTAAAAGTAACATTAAATTATTAGCAATCTGACAAATGCTACATGGAAAAACATGGTTTCTGATTACACTAATTATTATGTATTTTGCATGGGAAATAGAGTATTTTAAAATCATTCTAAAACAGCAAGTGTTGCCATACAGCCATCTTCAGCTGTGGTTTCCTATAGCTGCCTGTCTGTGAGTAAGGAACAGCAGCCTTGTAATGCAAAAGAAGACCATGCACAGCCTTTTAGTGCAACTATTAACAGCCCAGTTCTGTAGATTAATGATGTTCCTCCCATGCAGTAAATTAGAATGCACTATTAACATAAAGTATTTTCAGAATCAGGCAGCCAACGCCAAATCTCTTTTATTTATTATGTGGCAGAGAGAAGATGACAGCCAGAGGCATCATGTGAGAAGAGGAGGATCACATTAGGTACCTTTTCTTACACTGTTTATCCAAGCGTTTATTATTGACCAGTGTTGGTGCTTGGGAGGCTTTTAAGATGGCTAGTACAGCTGTTCCTGTGTTCCTGTGTTGTGACTTTTTCTCCTTATTTGTCCCCTGAAAAGCCTCTGAATTGCCCACAAGCTGCTGTGAATTTGGGGAAAGTATATGGAAAAAGGAGGAGTAGATTCTAGACAGCTGATTCCCTAGGAAATGCAAAGAACTTTCCAAGAAAACAAAAACAAAACAAAAACAAACAAACAAAAGTGCCTCCAGGATCTAATGAAACAATACAGTTTCTGGGAAAAAGTCCCCGTCTGAAGGGACCTTGATTAAGCTTTGTTGCCGGAGCAGAGGGAGTGGTGGCAAGACTGCTCTGTGCCCAGTAAACAAACATAGATCAAAACTCACACAGTTCCTGCTCGCCCTTCTCAGGTTGGCTTGCACTGATGTGCGGCCCTGCTGGTTCGCTCTGAAACCCCTTTGTGAACACAGCTGGGAATTTCTTGAAGAAAGCTAAAAAAAATAGCAACTTAAAATACTTATGAACATTTCCATCTAGCAGTCACAAACATCCAATTATCTTGTTAAATTCAGAGTAGCATTCTCAAGCTTAAGTATGCATTTTAGCATCATTTATGTCCTTATTTTCTTTTTCCTCCCTTACAGCCTGGAGTGGCAAATCAGTTTAGATTTTTACCTTTGCTGTATTTCAGTTTCTGACCAGCAAACTCTGGAACTAGCTTGCAAACCAGGTATATGATTATTTCTGTCTAACAAATAAAGTGTTTCCACTGGATTAGCAAAATGGGAGTATTTTAGTGACCTTAGGTTTTCTAAGATATGGATTTATTTTATTTATTTATTTTTGTAAATCTAAGGATCATTACACAGCCCTACAGCAGGGTCTCTCCCTCATTTTAGCTGGCAGGAACCCATCTTAACCACAGAATTGGGGTATAGACCGATTCCTACATATCTTGGACCAGACTCCAATTAACTCTTTAATGATCCTTTTTGTCACTTATAGGTGACAGTCCACGTTTTCTTTATGAGGATTTGACTCATGATGTTAGAGAAATTTTGCAGCACTTACACAGCCACAGTCCTAGATTGACAATGTTTAGTCTGAGGAAGAAAAAAATTTCTTATTTAATCTCAGGATGAAAAACTAACCACAGAAAAATTACATTAATATTTCTGCAAAGACTTCCTCTCCATAGATATTTTGGAGAATTTACCGTCCTGTTAAAGAACTGATTGCACCGGAGGGGATTTTCAAAGTATTTCCTTCTCTGAGTGTTTTCAAACATATTTCCTCCAGGGGGTGCCAAATTAACACCACTGGAAAGTAAAAATATATAAATTATCCACAACAAGGGCATAACAGCTATCCATACTATACATTTTACCAAGCCTCCTGAGTGATACACTCCTCCAGGCTGACCTGAAGGCTCTCGCGCTCAGAGTGAGATTTAGCAGCCGTTCGTTGATGTGCCTCTCACTTGAGGAAGTCGAGAAGTGCAGATTGGTCCTACAATTCATTTCAGGCACATCCCTGCCAAGTGCAGATAGGACACATCCTTTGGAAAAGAGCTTTAAGAGTGGCTGAGTGGAGAAAAACATCCATCTCAGCCTTTTAAAGGAAAAGGCCACGAGGAGGTGAGAACTTACAGATGTAGTGACACTGGTATTTAGCGTTGCCTAGCTTATGAACAAGGGGAGAAACCTGGACACAGGAACGAAAACGACTCTGAAAAGGTTCAAAATAAGATGGTCAAGGACGTCACCAACCTGCAGCGTTTGTTAGCCCTGAGTTCAGGATCTGTAAATGTCATTATAATAGAAGAAATTTCACCTGCCCAGAAAATACAGGCCTATTACTTAAAACAGGAATCCAGCTTTAAACGAGTGACCACTGTACCCCTACAGCAATGTGTTAGCTATGCGAGGGAATGGATCTGATCACTACGGACTAAGGAGTAAGGAAAAAAGAAAAATGATTGGGAAGTAACATAGTAATGTGCATATATTTTCCACATTTCCACTGCTCACATTTTGCTTTTTATCTACACAGCAGTTAAAATAATCATACAGTCCAAATATTCTGGATCCTTCGCCCACCACATTAGACGCATTACTGAAAGAGTGCCTGGTTATCTTCTATTTGACAGTAAAATCTCTGCTGGATAATTATTTAGGTAGAAAACTTCTAGAAGACTCCAATATAAAAGACAAACTCCTAGCATACACTTACCTTGTCCTCTCTGATTTCAAAATGCAAGTTTACTTCTCTTACTTTGAGAGTAGCAATGAAAGCCAACCCTGTCAGTGAAAACCAACGTTATTAAACAAGGTATTATACAAGCAAACACACTGCCAGAATGGGAAAAGCCCCAAACTTCGATAGTAATCCATTACTAGGGTCATCTCAGATGCCAGGGAATCAGCCGGGACTGTATGCAGATGCAGGGGAGAGATTTTCAGTTCCAAAAATTGCTGTACTGGGTTCTCAACTGTAGGTAGGGATGGACTACCACTGTGGGCACTGACATAGGCAGCTGGGCATCACCTGGAAATATCTGTGCTTGTCTAGACCAGGCTCAGCTTTGAACAGCAGTGGAAACAATGAATTTGTTAATCAAAGCCTGAATATTGGGAGTGATTTTGTAACCAGTTAGGGAACAGTAGCCAGGAGCTTATTATTTTATATATTGTAAATTGTAGCTATCTGTGAATTGACTGAGACCAGGCCAGACCAGAAGAAGATAAGAGTTAGATACCACCTGTAGTGTATACCTGGATGTCTCATTATTACTCTGAATGGTAACATTCCCTAAATCCCATCACCTTCCGAATAGGTACCAGCATTAGCAGAACATCTCACCTCGGGAGATGCTTTCTCTCAGCACCGTGTTCTAGAGACTCGTGATTTTTATTCTGCATTACCTGTGGAGGTTCAGGCTAATACACAACACCGCCTGACTGCCTGTGAGGTAAGTTACCTCTTGAGAAAGGAGAAAGTCTGTTTTCTACATCTTGCACAAAAACAAAGGGTCCCATAACATTCTTGTCTGGCTTGTTATTGGCAGGGAGTTAGATCCATCAACCTTGGAGGATGGGAATGTGGCAGCAATTTTTTTTTTCCTTTTGATTTATTAAAAATCCCTGCTGTGGACATTAGGAGGAAATTGGCCATAATTCAGGAGGGGTGGTTCTGATGGACAGTGAGATGGAAAGTTTCATATTAAAGCCTTAGGAGGCCAAAAAGAAAATTGAAATCTGGAAGTATCGGCTGATGGGCAGTATACTTTCATTACAAAGAAAACCAAGCTCTATAAACCTCTTGGCAGGAGGGATAAGAGTAGAATCAAAACAGTGACCTTGAGATTGGTTTCAGGCTGGGGAACATTAGGTTGACAAAGCGAAGTAAAGGAGAGGAAGAAGAATGGTAGGCCAAACATTAGCTTTAACTTGGACCTCTTTCTGGCAATCCTGTTCAGATGATGCCCACACTTACAGATTCTTCCTACGTAAAATATAAGATATGTAACCTTTTCTTTCCAGTGCAGCTAGAACTTGTACCTTGGTTCCCTTTATTTTGCATGCCCCTGCTGCAGTATTCTGTCCTCTGTTTTTATCATTGGGTGTCTTGCTCCATTCCTTTGCCTAGCCTTTGCCCTGCTTCGACTAGATCACTTCCTCTTAGCATCCCTCATTTGATTCACAATTCTCTATTGCGGCAGAAAAATAAAACTCTTCCAAGAGACCTGGTGACCTATCTCCATCCAGCTTATCATCTTAAATCCACCTCTAGGCGTTGAAGCCCATCTCTGATGAACCGCATTGCCAGCTCATATCACTTCTTAACTGCATTTTCAGCTACCTACCAGTAGGCAGTAGTGCCACTGTGCCTTTAGAGGAGTGTTTGCTAACAGCTATGGAAACAAATCAACCCTCCTTCACAATCTCTTTTTTTCCCCTTTGTGCTACCTATAAAAGCCTCTATCACCAGTTGCCTAGATGACTTGCCAAGGACATAGCCTAACACACTAATTTTACCTTATCCTACTGTTTCCTTGGACTGTCAAACCATGCTGTTCATCTGCTGATCCCTGACACCTGCTTGTTATCTCTTGTCACACACTTAGCTCGTGTGATCTCTGGCACACGGACCCTCTTCCTGTTCTGCGTGTGCATTGAGCCTCATACAGCAGAGACCTGCTCAACACCTCAGTACCTAGAGCATGCAAGACTATAGCAGTGCAAATCATTAAGATGAATCCTTCCTCACTTCCCAGGCAATGGATGTGCCCCTCCAGTTCACCAACAGCAAAGTGGTGAGTGGGAGAAGATGCACGGCTGTATGAATGATAGGGGAGAAAGACTGCAGAGCTCAGCTGATGCTGAAGAGGACAGTGTTAGTCCTGCAGCCCCTCAGCCACCACAGAGGTGCTGCTGGGCTCCCCAGGAGTCCAAGTCTCCTAGGTTGGAAGAATCTGGTGCGTAAAGCAGTGCAGGGAGAAAGCTGATTTACAAAGGGGCTTTATCCCACATTTCCTCCGAAGCCTGAGCTCAGGCTAAAGGAATCGCGCTGAAGACCTTAACCTAGGCAAGGATTAGAGAAGCCAAAGAAAATATATCACTGGCTAGCTAAAGCTCTGGAGGCAACTTGCTGTGATTTATGGACTTGTTGGAAGGCTGCACCCAAAGCCACCGCAGCAGGAGGACAGCATGGATATTGGCTCAGCATCGCCATGAATTTTTTTCCATATGAATGCTGGTCACTTAAACACACCACATTCAGCTTTGAGGAGAACATAGACAGTAAAGAAGTGAAAGTTGCAATACCCTCTAAACATTAGCCTTAATGTTAGCCATTTTATAGCATACACAGCAGTATATACATGAAGGAGTAATAACTCAGGAGCTCACCTAAATCACTGGTTTCCAGCTTATGCTCTGCAGAGTCTGGCAAGCCCATGGACAGCTTCTAAAGAATCTGCAAAAAGTGACTGAGAAACAGCAAATTCATAAAGGCCAGACAACAGTCTACATGCATGAAATTCCTGAAGGAATTCCACTGCTGCTGGAAAACTTTTTAGGGGTCCACAAATCAAAAAAAGAAAAAAAACACTGACCTAAATCTTCTCCTGCAACAGCAAATGGTCCAGAACTGCAGCAATACGAGAACCTAGCACGTGGGAATTGCGTGACAGCTAAGTGGCACAAAATCTCTGCAGCTTCTCACAGATGAAAATGGAAGCGAGTAGGACAGACGTTTATCTGTTTAGCTTTTGTACAGGGATTAGTGTTAAAACAGACACAGAGAATAGGAAAAACAGTCCCTGTCAATGCTAACTAAAGTAATCTTGACTACAATTACTGTATGCAACAAATTGGAATGCACATGCTCCTTGTAAAGATTGGTCATTTCAAACCTTGAGTTCTCATCAAGTTATAAAGAAAAAAAAAAGAAAAAAAGCGGGGGGGACAGGGACAATCCCTATTAGGGCACAAAGTAGTTATTTTAAGAGATTCTCTGGAAATAAGCTTGTTTCTCTGCTAATTTTTCTGCTGGCAGAACCAATTCATTTTTGTCCTTTACAAGCTGGCCTTTTACATTTGATTTAAAATTGGATTTGGGCCTCCGGGGATCTCTGATGTCAGGCTGCCTAATGCAGTGTCAACACGAAGACACCAGGAGATAAAAAGTCAGTTTCACTTAGAGTTTCCCTTGTCCAGGATCTAATGGGGATTTTCATTCCTTAGCTCTTGCGTTCGGATCGCTGCATCTTCCCTCCTTGTGTCTTCAGCATGAGAGCGCGCGGAGCAGCCTCCGTGCTCCGGAGCGGCCGGCACAGCTGCAGCACATACGCACGCTTCATGCTATCACCTCGTAAAGCCATCACCTAGCAGACAAATTTTACTTGCATATTTGAAAAGCAGAGACTCCAGGGTCAGAGCGATGCAGACCGGAGGAAGGGTAAAAACATAGGCTGCGAGGAGAACTAATGAGATTCGCTTGGCTGGAGGAAATGGTCAGACATTAGCATTTCAATAGCAGAGGTCAAACCTCTTCATCCAGTACTGGATGTAGCTCTCTGTAGACCAAGCTGATACATCCATAACATCTGTACTCGGAGCTGCATATTTTAATATGAAGCCCCAACTGCAGGTTACTCCCTAGAAGGACTTGCACCGTCTCTCCTGACTCCCTCCCTGACCCATCATGTGGCAGATGCTTATCTGGAACCTATGACTTAACCAGCTGAAAATGGGACACAGAGGAAAAGAACAAGAACATGGAGTCTCTCAAGGGTTTTAGGGAAAACAGTGTGTAGGCACGTAACTTCATAACATACGTATAGGAAGACTGAATTAAGATTCCTTGGACAACCTTAATTCTGTGCTTTTCTGACACATATATGACTTTGCAACGATCAGGATTGTGTAATTCCTGAGGGCAATGACATATATCATTTAGTAGAGCGCAAGCTGATCGTTCTCTCTACCAACACAAGCACTAACAAGGTATTTTCTGCCTCTGCCTGTGACACCATTCAAGGTTATGTTTCCTTTGCAGAGGATGACTGAGAAGCAAAGTACTTGCTTCTTCTTTAAGGGAGCTGAGAAGTGCAGAGCTTATTCAAGGTTATGTTTCCTTTGCAGGTTATGTTTCCTCCTGCTTTAAGGGAGCTGAGAAGTGCAGAGCTAACTTCAACAGCACGTTGCCATCCGCCGAACAGGACCACGGGTAAACACCTAGCACACCAATTAGGATAAATTCATAAAGTAGCACTGTGTGCAACGCTCATAGCAGGAACATTTCCTAATCCAGGAAGATTCACTTACTTTTTTTTTTTTTTTTCCTTAAAACAGCAACATGCTGCTGACACATAAAACTCAACATTTCCCAGCCTGTGGTAGTGTTGTGGTCCAGACTTCTACAGCCTCAATCTCTTGCTTCCCCACTGCTGCAGAGCAGCAAAGGGAGCTGTGGTTGTGCAGCGGCTCACTGGTCTCTCACTTAGCATATTAGCTCCTGCAAAGGCAGCTGAGAGGGTGATTTGCTCCACACCTCACAATAGTCACACATTTTCAGGTAGGATTTTGTGCCCCCCATCTGCCATATAGCTGATCTCCCTAAAACGCTCAGGGAAATCCTCCCCGTTGGACGCTCTGTGCTGCTGCTCAGTGTTGCGGAGGGGCTGTGATCCTTCCTTCAGTGCTGTCTCCTCCTTTGCTTACATCTCTGTGCAGTCTAACGCCTTCGCTCCCACTCTGTGCTCAGCAGTCACTGCCCAACATCACATCCCCCATCAGCGTAGCCTCCTACCCCAGCCAGGGTCTCGTTAACTCATTGATTGGATTCAGCTGGCTCTGTCTGCACTGTAGCAGTCATTTGACTGCACTTTCTGGGTGCTCAGCCTGGATATCCAGATCAGTCCCTTGCCAGAAAGAGGAAAAGCAGCGTTGTGTTTTTCATAGTGTTTTTCTTTAATGACATTTCCTTCCTTCCATTAAGCAGATGTCCAGAGGAGACAAATGAATTGCCGTGTATATCTAGAGGATCTTTGAAATCCTTGGTACAGGCTAAGTGTAGGGGGGATAAGAAAAATAAGGGGGAAATGAATTAAGGAAGAAGTTTGAAAAAGTGTGAACCTTCAGTGTGGAAAAATAAGAGAGAACTAGAAACCAGAGGCACAAGAAAATATCCAAGACATACGGATACTGCAAAATAATGCAGCTGTTAGAGAGGAGAAACAAAATAAACACCAGAGGAACCTCATGCAATACAGGGGTAGCTGGTGTTCAGCAATGCTCCTAGAAATTTTAATATGATGCGTAAGATTAAACCATGACAGCAGGACAGGCTTATCTGCAAGCGTCACGTTACTTCCCCTGGGATCGCTACCTTCCGAATGGTGCTCCTGCCATCTTCTCCTTCCCCACCAAATCTCACTTGACCTGAATTCTCATGATTTGACTCCATAATCCCCTGGTTTCCCCTGTATGCACACAAAAGATTATTGTACAAAAGCAAATTCCCAGGGTCTAGGGCTTTGCTTTCCATTTAGTTAAAGAATTATCCTACAGTAGTTTAGGTGCTGGGGAACTTGTCCTGTAGATTACTGCCTACAGGGCAAATGCTGAGGAGGCTGCTAACGAGAGAACAGATGTTCCCTGGCTTATGAGCCTTGCTGAATGCAAATATCTGCAGCGCAGTGCTTGTCAATAAGCCTCTGCCTAAGAGTTGCAAACCTCTCAGACCACATTCATCCCCCGTGTAAATGCGTGGGCTTAGGCAGAATTACACCAAGGAAGAAGTTGGTCCTTGATCTTCAGCAGAGAGACAGAGTTTAAAGCCTTGCACAGGAATTGAGATTACATGTCATGAAAAAATAATGCTTTTAGGCTAAAACTTGCCACTTTCCATGACAAAATGCAGCTCTTAGACCTGTTACAACACAGCAGGCCTGAAGTAAATAGATTTCAGTGAGACTTGGTATTAGAGGTGAAAATCCTATAATAACTGAGACGCTTTAAAATTTTCTTCCCTCAGTAAAAGGCTGCTTGGCTTTACAAGGCCTCAGTCTCTTGGGGTGGGCTTGGTCTACCCGGCCGCTGGAAGGCAGGGGCTGGAGATGAGATTCTCTGCCCGTTCCCGAGGGCCACAAGCTCCCAGGGAGCCTCTCTGGAGCTAGAGGAGCTGGTCAGGGTCGGCTGGGCTCTGAAGTCCCCCCGGAGAACACAAGAAGGGAAGGCAAGGGAGCACGTTGAGCCTTTCATCAAGGGACGCGTGAGGCAACCATGGCAGCCCCCTGTACTGAACCTCGAGACCCGGGCCCGTGACATGCAGCAACCACCTCCCCTGCCAACAGCCTGGCTGTCCTAGGGCATCGCCAGCACTGCCAGCACCCACCCGAGCCTTCTCTAGCACGTGGCTGTAATAGCAATACTTAACAGCATGATCCTTCGTGGTAGGAAGGCTCATAAAAAATAAAAATCATGCTAGAATTACTGATTTGGAGACGTTCACCCTGACTTGAGCAGCACTGCAAGGCTAGAGGAGGGAGGAAGGGCAGACACCAGTGTGTAAACACAGCCTGGGTCTTGGGTACTAGGCACTCAACATCAGGTTCAAGACCCCTGGGAACCAGGTGCTAGAGCCCTAGGGATCGGGTGCGAGGTGCTGGGATCCCTAGGGATGGGGTGCGAGGTGCTGGGATCCCTAGGGATCGGGTTCCGGAGCGCGGGTCCCCGTCCCTGCGTGCCCCTAACCCGCCCCCCGCATCCCTGCGCGCCCCCCGTCCCCGCGGAGCATCCCTGCCTCCTAATCCTGCCGTGCTGGGAGCTGCCTCCGCTCTGCCTCTCTCTGCCTGCCGGTCACGCTGCTGCCATTAGCTCTGCTGAGCCCGAGTGCAGCAGCGCGAGGAGGACGGAGCTGGGGCTAACCCGAGGGCTGTAGGTGCATGCAAACACCCCCATCGCGATCCGGGCTGCCTGTTGCACGGGAGACGCCGTTAACTGCGCTGTCAACCCTTGTCGACGCTAACATGGTCGCCTTCAAGATTTCCCCCTCCATGAGAACATCTGTGCTTTGGATTAGTTTTCCCTGGATAGATTTACTCATATTTTCCACATTGAATCTCTTTTGTTGTTGTTGTTGCTTTCTAGTCTATCTAGGTCCCTTTCTTTGGTATTATTCCTTTGCGTGCACTCAAAATCTCCCCATTTAGTGGAGTCAGCAAATTTCTCTGGTATCCCAATTTACTCTTTGTATCAGACTATGAATGAATTATACATTCTTGGATGTCTCTCTAACACAGTGCATTCAGTTTTTGCAGTTCTTTGTTTATAGTTTGTGCTTTTTCATCTGTGTGATTATGCCCGTATCCAAAGGGATTTAAATTAACGTTTCCATCACACACATATGAAAAAGCTATAAAAAGCAAAATAACTACCCCAGTTGTTCTGCTTATCAGGCGTAGTTAGATTAACTGCTGAATGTTATAGGACTTTCGTCTTAGTATTTGTTTGATTATTTTACTAAACATAAGCTCATGGTAGCTTCCAGGACCACTGCTGTCTGAAGATTGTTTGGATATTTATTTCCACCCTGTTTTCTGCCTGTATTATACCTGTTTTCCATTTCCAGCCAAGCACTGCAGCACAATTATTTATTCCATGGCCTGGTTTGCCCTGGGCTTTTCACAAGTCCTTTCCTTAGGGAACACGTGAGCACTAGGTCCCAGAGAGCACCCGTCCCCTTGGCATGAGTCACTCTAAGAGGCTTTGGCCTCCATCACCAGCCTCCTCACTGACCTAACACCCACAGCAATCCCACCAACACTGCCCAGGCTCCACTTCTCCCCAGACACAAGCGCAATAGCCCAGACATAGCTTGGCTACCCATGTGACACGAGTCACACTCATTGTGCAAAGGAAAATGACAGTTAAGCATCCCCAAGATTCCTGTATCCCTCATTATTTTAAACTGAGCTTTGGCTCAAGTCTGGGTCAGCCCTGGTGCCTTCAGTGACTTCATGGGATGTCAAATACACCCCTTGTGACAGGAGACTAAGGAAATACTCATCTAAGAGCCTTGTTCAACCTGGCACTTACTAACCCTAACCCCTGCGCTGGGCACAGGCCTCTTCTCTGTTTCCCTCACCTGCTGTTTCTTTATCAAGGACAGTAATATAGTATGGGCATAACAGAAGCATGAGATTTAGCGTCACCACTTGCAACAGCAATGAGGAAATGCCAGTACCTTCCCAAACTCACCTGAAGCCTCCAGCAAAGCTGGGGGGCAACACGTGTCCCTCAGATCCCCTCCACTCCACGCTCCAGGCTGCACAGCCTGGTGGGATGGGAGCTCTGGATGGACAGACCAGGACAGGACAGGGCAGGACAGCCGACCTGTACTCACCCCTGCCCAGGGCTGCCTTCCTTCCCCCACCTGGGGCCTTCCTCCCGTTAGCACTGAGCACCTTCAGCTGCCTCGACCTCCCTGCTCCAGGGCCCATCCCAGGAAGGAAGGCAGGGATTAGTGCAGGAATCTGGGTGAATGTTAGCAAAACAAATAGGAGATGAAAGATAAGGCAGGCTCCTTGGTGCATAATTACCTTAAGTGAAGGTCTGTTTGCTAATACCATTGTTTTGGTGTGCTAAATAGCTGGGTCTTAACGCCCCAGCAGATAGGAAGAGTCATTTAATTCCCAGGGATGTCACACTGGGATTACAGGGCCTTTGAGGATGCAGGAGCATCCTGGAGCAGCTCCCAGATTCTCTGACATGGAGGTCCTGGGAAGTAATGCTCCTGGGTGGCCTGGTGGCACTTCCAAAGTCACCTGCTCCCCAGCCCAGGCACAGTGAGACATTCCCAGATAAGTGCCCTGCAGCCCCTGTTACAGGGCAGGACTTGCCCCATTTCTGCCCTGGAGCGCAGAGACTCTCTAGGTGCCTGTTTTCGGTTCCTCTCCTCCATGTCACCGTCTGGAGGCATCTCCTGACCCAACTCCTCCTGTGGTCACGTCTCGGCCGGTCCTGCAGGCTGGGAGTCCCCTGCGAGCAGAACTGAGTGAATGGGGACGGACGGGGCGAGCGGGGTTTTACACCTAAGAAGTCTCCCGGGCTGCTGCTAATCCCTGGAGGTGCCATTAGCTCCTGATCACCAGACCTTTGAAATTGTTTTATTGCTTTAATAACGTGACGGCAAAGGAAAACGAGGAACACGCCACATTTATTATTTATGCTGGTACAAGATTAAAGTTAGCTATTAAAAAAATTCACGCGCAACATGCCTTACCCGGAGTCATTTCTAGTGTAGCCACCGGAGCACGGGAATGTCCTTCATTGAGCCGGGCAGCCCCTGAGAAATCGGGTCTCGAAGATGGGAAGTTGCCACCTTTGTGAAAAGCCAGGAAGGAGGGAGCAGAGCAGGGGCTGGAGGCACCGTGGGGAGGAGCCGCGTGTGTCCTGGCACCTGGGGCTGGAAGGGAAGGGAGGAGAGCTGCGCTGGGCATGGAAGCAGCTCAGCACGTGCCCATGCGTCGAGCTGTAGCTGCAGCGGTTTGGCCAGTCTGCCTTCATTCCTCTGCAAAGGCCGTTTGACAGTTCGATGGGGCAAGATTCATCAACATCTGTCACATGTCAGAGAAACCATACACATGCATTATGTTTTATATATATATATATATATATGCACGCATTTAATGTATAAGAAACCACACATGCAACCTTGCATCCCGCAACCTGTGTCCCTGCCTGACAGGTTCTCACTGTGGACACCCTTGGGGCTGTGCATCCCACGTGAAGATTCTTCGAGTGTCTCCCAGCAGCTGCCGGGGTTGAGCCCACAGCACTCAAGGCTGCAAGCAGGGGCCTCCACCAGCTCACCCAGAATCACAGAATGGTTAAGGTTGGAAGGGACCTCTAGAGATCATCTAGTCCAACGCCTCTGCTCCAGCAGGGACACCTAGAGCACGTGGCACAGAGTGGCATCCAGGCAGGTTTTGACGATCTCCAGAGAAGGAGACTCCACAACCTCTCTGGGCAACCTGTTCCAAAAGCGAGGGCCCCGTTTCCATCCAGTACCTCCTCACGCCAACATCACCCTTTGCCAAAACACACGCTTGGCGCGTGTCATTTCAGCGCATCAGGGACGGTCGAAGCCCCGGGAAGGCGCTCGCCCCACAGCAGGGACACCCGATGCTCCATCCCCATCCGTGTCCCTGCTGCCGCCTGGGCTCGGCCCGCTTGGCAGCCCCAGCGTGGTGCTCGTGCCGGCTCCGGCTGCCCTCGCGTGCGGCGGTGCAGGAAGGGCGGCGCGGGCGCATCGGCT